TTTTAACAGATTTAGAAATCATTTATGGCAAGTAGATTTTTATTTGAAATCTTTTCTAATAATAATAGTAATAATGATAATGAATAATAATTTATTCATTAATATTTTTGTGCTTGATAGAAAGTCTTTATGATTTATGGAATCAAAATTATATTGTTATGGGAAGCAATAATGATTCTAAGTATTATATTAGAGTTACACTTGGCACATGTGAAGCTACTATGCTGTATGTATGATAAACAAACAAATATTATTATGTTTTACTAACAAAACATCAAATATTTTATTAGACCTGTTCACAAGGACTTTAGATGCATTCTTGTTTTAGAAGAGAAAAAATTACATACTGCAGATCCATCACTTTTGAATAAATTTGAGAAGCAAAAATTAGGAATTAATGATACACTCCCTGGACAAAAGTATTTGATCACGTGTTTACACTAATTAGTAAAAAACCTACATAACAACATCACACGAAATTTATAACATTATGCACCTAGGTTTTAATAAATATATATTCGAAATTTCACGTCGCTAGCTTTCATGTATCAAATTTAATTAAAAATTTTCAAAAAAGTTTTTTTTCATGATCGCCCAAAATTGAAATTATTTATTAAATAAAAATTCAATATCTTGTTGGCCAGCCATTGTTAGAAATACATGCTTCTATTCTTCTTGGCATGCTTTCAATAAGTTTGTTTAATTTTTCGAATGGAATTTGGGTCCATTCTTCTTTCAATACAACTTCCAATTCTGACACATTTTTACAATGACTGCTTCTCTTTTTCAACCGTCTTTCCAACTCATCCCAAAGATGTTCAATAGGGTTGAGATCGGGGGATTGTGAAGGCCAATTTGATAATATTTCTATATTGTTTTCTACAATCCAATTTTGAACAGCTTTTGCAGTGTGAACTGGGGCGTTGTCATCTTGGAAATAATAATTTCTATTATTAAATTCATTTTCAACTAAGGGTAACAAATTTTCTCTTAATATTTCAATATAGTCCCAACGATTCATCTTTCCATCCACCTTAACCAAAGGACCCAATCCTTTTCCAGAAAAACACCCCCAAACCATTACCCCGCCACCACCGTGTTTTACTGACGGGACAATGTTCTTAATATCATAACGTCTCCCGTTTTCTCTCCAGACAAGACTTGGACCATCATTTCTGAAAACATTAAATCGTGACTCATCACTCCAAATCACAGTATTCCATTTTCTGACACTCCATCTTCTTTTTTCCAAACACCACCTTAATCTCTTTTCTCTTTGTTTTTCAGTCAACAGAGGTTTCACCGCAGCAACTCGTGAATAAATTCCAAGCCATGGAGATTTCTACGAATTGTTTTTGTAGAAATCTCAACACCACTAACTTCGATGAATTTCTCCCGTATCTGGTCAGAAGAAGCACAATTATTATTTTTTACTACTTTTTTTAATTTTTTCTGATTGTCTTTGTCTAAAATTTTGGGTCTTCCACTTCGTGGTGCACTTTTTAGCTCACCAGAATAATGAGTGATTGTATACTGGACAGTGCTATATGGAATTTTCATAATCTTAGAAATTTTTCTTATAGAAGCTCCACTTAAATTAAACCCCAAAATTTTACTTCTTTCAACTACTGTTAATTCCGAATTTTTTACTTTTGTCATCTTAAAAAATTTTAAAGATTATCAATTTTTTGTTGATTGCGAATTCAGATGTTATTACTATTTTTTTAACCACTAATTTTCTAGACATGATAGAAACACGAAATTTCATATATTTATTCTTCAAAACAATATCCCTCATTTTTGTAAAATTTACAAATTTTTATTATGTAGATTTTTAAAAAACATGAAAATATAGCAAAATGTTTAAATTTTTTATTTGGATTTTAGTTTTTTATTATTAATCTTGATACTTGGAAGCTAGCAACGTGAAATTTCGAATATATATTTATCAAAATCTAGATGCATAATGTTATAAATTTCGTGTGATGTTATTATGTAGGTTTTTTATTAATTAGTGTAAACACGTGATCAAATACTTTTGTCCAGGTAGTGTACATTTTAAAAGTCATCTTTGACGTAAATAAGAATAAAACTAACTGTTCGAAAAAAAAAAAAGGAAAATTTGGGTATTACGATGTTACCAAAATTTTTTTAAATGAACTTATAAGATTGCCTATTGACCTATGATAACTATAAATTTGTTTAAAATGCTAGTTGAATTAATACTGTTTGGAAAAAGTTTTTACTTGGCTTTTGTTGCCTTTTTATTTTATTTTGTTATTCTTTTAGTCAATTATTATTATTATCATTAATTGCTCTTATTAATTGCATGGTTATTATCCTTATATCAACTCTTCTTGTGGTTAACTTTTAGGAATATTCAAAAAAAAACTGATCTCACGCCTTACACCAATGAAAGTCATAGCAAAAATCAAAAATACCGGCTACTCTAGAAAACTGCAAAGATAACCAAAAGTGATCTAATATTATTCAAAAGAAACATAGTTATGATGGAATCAAGATGACGATTATACAACTTATTTCGGGATATAGAGTGGAACGAAGCTGGACTTTTGCAAAGAAACGTTCAGAAAGCTGCCGTATTGAATAGTATGTCTAATAACGATTGTAACCTCATCTTGGAAAATTTTCTAAATATCACTTCTGAATATCTTTTTTTTTTTTGACCAGTCATTTGCAGCTTTCAGGGTTGTTCTCCCTTTCCTGCTAATGGTCGGATTCTATTTTTCTACATCACCGATACTGTTAACATCGAAGCACAGCAGATATTTAGTAATATTTTACATGCGTTACGAACCAAAGGAACGTAGCTACGCTTGGAAGAGTATGTATTGTGATGGCTGAAAAGAAAATACATCAATGTTTTTGATTTGTATAAAATAATCATTGGTTTTCATATATGATGTAATACATAAAGTTTTACGTAAAATAATATAAAGGTTGCATTTAATGTGTAATTTTTCATCAAATATCTATATAATTAACAATATCAAATCCATGATTTTTCTACTCGAAATAACTCACAATCATACGATATTCACAGTGAGTATTTCAGTTCCATTCCAAGGTTCATCATAACATTTGAGGCAATAAACCCATGTACAAAAATAATCACCACTACTACAACTCACTCACCATGTATATTTTTCCCAAGCCTCATGCATGAGGTTTGATACAGGGTTGAACCCCTCTTTATATGCTCTTTTTACATATGTGGCGTATTATCGAGCTAGTAAAATCATGATGTGACATGTTGGTTGACTCTCTCCATCAATCTACGCGTGTTCAGTATCTTCAACTCTAAAAGGCAAATTATATCGATTAACATGTGATTCAATCCCAGCCAAAGCCAGAACACATGTTTCACTCATCTTGCTAATTCCTAATACTAATCAGTTCTACCAAAAACCATTTGGTGACAAGGTTAGAAATATCTGAATGTTCAGTAGAATCTTCAACGGTGACCATATTGAAGTGGTAAATTTGATTTATGACTTTTTTATAAATTTCCTCTCTTCTCTTCATTTTTTCCTTTTGTCTTAACACCTTGAGAATATTATCCAATAATATTTCTATTTATATAGTTCCCCAAAAAGTGCTTCTGCTTATCTGTTCCCTTAGTCTTGGAATTCTTTACAAGATTTTTGTGATCCTTCTTTCCTTCTTTTTCCAATATTTTGACAGCATCAGCAGCTCCGTCAGCTTCTTTGTCAACTCCTTGCCTGAAGCCTCAAATTTCTTCATCCAATTTCAAAGAATGATTGAAAAAAAAGTTCTTTCCATTATTTCATTATAGTGGCTTGAAATCGGATGACCGTTCCTTTATGAGCCACTTGGAATGACTATGTGATTCTGTCAGCAAATCTAAGACCATAACACTGGCAGATGTTATCCATTCTCCCTAAATCAAAAATAAAGCACCAAAAACTCATCTCTTGTTTCCTTTTGGTTTTGCGACCTTTTGTTTTCTCCGTTTATATCTGTGGGATTTATTCTTTGAACCAAAAAACTTCACACATCCCTAAAGAGCCAAGCAATATACCTTAAATGGAAGGTGGTGTTATTGAAGAAGAGATTAATCTCGTTTATTATTATAGTCAAACCCTTGTTGCAAGTTACACGAACATTTGACTTATTGTCACACGCATTGTCTTTGGCTCATATTTTGGCAAGACCACAAAATTAAAGATTTTTCTTTTTCTAAATAAAATAATGGAAATAAATTTATCATTTAGGTAAATAAATTTATAGTTTTATTTCTATTTTATTTTTCTCCTAGTAATATTTTTTCCTTTCCAATAATAATAGTGGTGGTATGGAATTACTATTTAATAATGTAAAGAAAACATTAATAAATTTACCGAAATCAATCAACCCTCCTAATCCAACAAACATGAAAGATCTTGTAAAAAAATTTTATTTACTTTTTGTTTTATGAAATTGTAATAATTACTATATATTAAAATATTTATCACTGTTTTTTTTTTAAAGATATCTTGGATAAAAGATAATTTATTGAAAGAAAGACCTGAATTATTTGTTGATGGTGATACAGTGTAAATATAATTAAATATGAATTATTATAAATTCACATTATATAAATATTTAATATGATTTTTTTTAATTTTAAAAAAAAAGACGTCCTGGAATATTAGTCTTGATAAATGAAACTGATTGGGAATTGGAAGGTGAATTAAATTATGAATTAAATGATAATGATAATATAGTTTTTATTTCTACTTTACACGGTGGATAAATTAACAGTTAGTTTATTGATTAATAAGAATACTAATATTAAAATAAAAATTTTTGATAAATACATTTATTAAATTTTTGCAATGTTATTATTATTATGAATAATTGTTGCTTTTTCAATCACTATTATATATATATATATATATAAAGTATGTAAACATAATTGAAACAAATCTAAGAAAAGAGGTAACCCAAATCGGATACTAATACTAGTTTAAAAATCCTTACGTTTGTTTATCAGTATCGCCAGTAACGACGTTTTTATTATCATCTTCATCCTTTTTAACATTGCTAGTGCTATTCCTAGGTGTATTGCCATCAGTATAACTTTCATCGTCAACATCTCCAATATCAAAAATAGTGGATTCATCATTAGCCAATCTATCCGTTTCACTATTTTCTCCATCACCACCACCTGCATTACGATACTTGACATTATCATAACCTATGTTGTCCATTGTACGTAAATTATTGATTTCCAAATCGTAATCTTCATCGTATTGTGTCAATTCGTCACTCATCGCAAATGTAATCAAAAAAAAATATATATATATACGTTAAGGATTAACAAACAATAAATCAATAATTTTATCAAAAGATCCAAGATCAAAACAAAAGGATATCTTTTATTATTTTTTGTTGGTCTCCAAATGATTAAGATGACAACGAAAACAACCAAATATAAAATATTTAACCATCCATCCAATAAAAACCATCTCCATCTCCAATATCTCGGTATCCATTCAGGATCTTCTCGATGCATATAATTAAACATGTTAATGAAAAAGAATACACCTAATATTGTCACAGAAAATACTAATAGTCTATATAATCTTTTGTTAATATTGATTAATTTTCGTGATTAGTCAATTAATTTAACTGACAAATAAAAGCATAAACAATTATATGAATAAATAAGTCAATCCTTTTTTTTCTTACTTTACAACTCCATAACCCATACAAACAATTAAAAGCATAAAGAAAGAAATTGAATTTCTTCCCGCATTTAAAACAGCAACTAAACACAAAAGAATTGCAGCTAAACAACAATAAATGGAAATATATGAAATAAATTGTGATAAATAATTAAGCATTTAATAAAATATAATAAATGTATGAATAAATTATCGATTATCTCACATGAATAGCCGTTTTTGTTATAATTTTCCCAATAACCCCAATTAAATGCCATTTCAATCATGAGAAAGAAAATAACTCCGGATATATAATTCTATCATTAATCATTAATCAAATTATTATTACTATTGTCTGTTTTAACTGATCAGTTTAGTTATTATTATTTAATAATACCTGAACAGGCAAAATATCTCTCCAATGCAATATACTAAGTGTCATCCATAATAAACCAATCACTAAATAAGTTAATGATAGAGATCCATAAAACTAACAATAATATTTCAATATTTTAATTAATTGTCATTGTAAATAAATAAATGAATGAATGTATGGACATATGAATGAATGGGTGGATGGATGAATGGGTGGATGGATGGATGGAATTAAATAAATGAAAGTGAAATTCCTCTTACTGGTAATTTTGGATAATCGGATGCAGGCAATTCACCATATGGGTTATGCCATTCAACGGTAACAGTAAATTCACCAAGCTGGGTTGGTGGTACAGGTAACGCAGCTGCACAATAATAGCCTGATTTTTTTACTTCATATTTAATAGGGCTTGATGAATCTTCTCCTGCAGGATCGAATGTCTGTCGAATGATTTCATAATTTGTTTGATTACTATTAACTATGATTCGCCCAAGATCTTCACTACTACAATATTTTTTCTCGATTGCTGTTCCGTCACAAATATAAGTTCTCTATAAATAAAAAATAATAACAATTAGAAATAAATACTGATCGATTAAAAGACCATTATTTTATAACTTACGCTATCATCTCCTGGTGAAATAGCACCTATTTTATCTCTATCTGACCATTCATAAATAATTGTGGCAGCATCTTGAAGCGAATCAACATTATATTTTACTGTTGGTAATAGTGACATGATATTAATAATATTATTAATAAATAAATACAATTCTCTTTACTTTTGTATATAACCTTTAAACAGTTAATTTAAATTTTACATAAAATAAGAGGAGCAACTCCATTGGGTATTGATTCTTTATCAAACATCCCAGAACATCTAATTCTATAATTCCCATCGTTATACTATTTAAAAAGACCAAAACATTTATTTATATTTGTTTTAAAAAAGGAACTAAAAAACATATGAAAATAGTGATACCAAATATTCTTCATTTGCTTCAGCGTACTTTGTTAAAGATGATGAAACTATAATAAAACAAGCAAGGAAAGTCCATAATGACTTTTTCCAAGCCATAATCTTAAAAAAAAATTTTTAAATTATATAGTAATATCGTTTTTTTTATTGATTGAAAAAAAGAAATGCCCTAATGCTTTTTATTATGGTTTTGGATTTTAAGGTTTCAAAGGAAAGAAATTATTAATAAAATTATTCTGATTAAAAAAGTGTGGAATATTACTTTTTAATTAAACAAATATGCGTGCCGATTCTAAAAAAGCACAGTAAATCAAATGTACAACAACAAATAAACACTAAAAATGTACAAATGTAAATGGTTTACGTGTGATTTATTTAATACACATATATATGTATAAAATTCATTAATCAAAATTAAACAAATAAAAATTTTGCCATTGATTTCATTGCTAATTCGGCAGCATTGTCTCTATTTATTGACCATATAATGGCATAATCATGCATGTTACGAGGTGCTACAATCAACTCGGCTTTGACTTCTTGTGACCTGACTTTTTCAATGAACCTGACTACGCTATCCAACATAATCTCATAACTTCCCACACATGCCCAAATCTTTGGTAATCCATTAAATTGAATTTCAGTTATTGGTGAAATCGACGGACTGTTTGGTGATTGACCACTATCGCCCAAATATTGCTTTAAACAATAATGAAAAAATTCCGCACTCAAATTATCATTTTGTTTATTAGTTTGAAATGATGGATAATCTGTAGATCTCTTATATTATAAATATGAATAAAATATAAGTAACATTAAAATGGATAAATGATCAAAATCAAAACACTTACAGAAAAACAAGGTGATATTAAAAGCAAAGCTGATGGAGTTGCCACTGATAATTTAACTTGGTTGTGTAAAATATATAATGCACTTACAACTGCCAGATTCGCACCCGCACTATCACCAGCTAATTTTATTGTTAATTAATTAATAATTATAATAATTATATATATATATATATATAATATATATAATTATTAAAATTCTTACCAAAAACTATCTTTGATGGACTAATTTTCCTCTGATTCACCAACCATAAATAACAATCTATCATATTTTCTCTTGCAGCTGGAAAGCAATTTTCCGGTGATAAGGCTAACAAATCAAAAAAAAATTAAAAAAACAAAATTCTTAATTATTTTTATTTTCTAAAAAAATTTTTTTTTTCACGCGTGAATATATTATATTACACTTACCATATTCTAAAGATAATATATGAACTTTTACATTATGGCTTGATTTCCAAGACTTTATCCACCTTACAAAAACAACAAGAGATAATAATGCGTTACCACAAGTGAATCCACCGCCTTAAAAATACAATTATAGAATAAATATTGGTTGATGTATTGATATAAATGTATATTATAAGTTTATTTACCATGAGCATATAAAATAACAACATTTGCATCATCTCCAACTTCTAAATTTTGTGCATCTTCGGCAATCAAATATCCTGTCCAATTTTCACCATTCTTTATTTTACGACACCATTTACGGCGTTTTTTACCAATTAAAAACCCGTTGATTGCTTGTTCTGACCATCCAATCATATCATATAATATCCTTATTAACCATAATGGTAAATTCTCCGTAAAGGCTTTTGCAAAAGTTGCCGAAACTCGTTGATATAAAGTTGGTAGTTCACGTGACCTGGTTGTATATTTTAATGCAATATAGGCTATTATGTCTGTTTAAAAATATGTTACAAATAATATAATAAGATTCACGATAATGGTGATATTATTAGCGTTTTATTTTTTTATTTTTTAATCATACTTGTTAAAATTACGAGCGAAATAATTTCCAAAATTAAATCCATTTTTCTATAAACAATAATAATTTATCTTTTATCTTTTGTTTATATATTAATGAATCACAATGGAAAAAATTTTACGCACATATTTTTGAAGAAACGTGATATACACGTGAAATTTTATTTTTTTATCAGTCCGAAATTTAAATTTTAGAAGATATCTCTAATTTAAGTGATCAGATCTCTTTTTGGAAAAAAATTTCTTATCACGAAAAAAATTTAAGCCGATCATCGACCTTTTAGGAAAAGATTTTACAATTTACATATAGACATATATAAAATGGTCTAACTTTGAAAAAGTAAACCGATGGAAATGAAGCTTAAGCCTTTAGCTTTAATCTTATCAGTTTACTTTTTTTAATAAGGAGTTATAAGCTTTTAAAGTCATGTGATAATCATTGACCATTATAGATGTCCTGCACTATAATACTAATACTACAAATACCATTTTATGGAGTTGTGCATTGTAAAATAATTTAAAAAAACGGTTTGAACAACATTACACGAACCCTTATTAAAATACCAAGAAAGGCAATGACTTTCAAACATTAATAAAATATTTATTAAATAATTATTGTGTCACATTTTGAACATGTGTAACCGGTTTGAACAGTTCCCAAAAACTAAACCAAAATAAAAACCACAAAACCGAGTTCAAACCGTTTGTTAGTTAAACTGCCCCATCCCTAGGGATATCACATGATTAACCCATTAAATTAACACATGGCTTAACCCTAATGTAACTTTCCTACTCCATGCCATTTGTGTGAAACTTCCTTTTGCAAATTCACACAAGTTAATTGTTATCTGAGAAAAAAAATTTTATAAAAAAGATTAATCCAATTGTTTCTTAACATACAAAAATCAAATTATTATTTACCTGAAGAAGGGCCAGTGTTTCTTCATAAATTTTAAGTTATATGAATGGATCATCATCTTTATTACTTGTAGATGATTTTACTGATAATAAATATTTCTTTAAATGTATGGTAGCTTCATTTGATGATGATTTCGTTGGCAGGTTCTAGATCATTTTCCGCACCATCTGATAAACATCCTTTAGTTTTGTAAAATGACAAGTGTCGTCCATTATAAAAAGATTGATAGTAAAAAAATGATGATAATGAACAAATGATACTAAAATTCGTCCTGTTCCAAAATTGAGTCTTGTTGAAACTATTGTGATGATTTTGATAAAACATTAATCAATTTCAGAAATAAATTTATTCGACAATCATTCCAAAAGTGTATCTTCAGGCTTGATAAGTTCAGCAGCAAACAGTCAAAGTGGTATCATTGAAGAGAGACAAAGTTGTCATTATTTCCAACGAGTGATATTTCATAGATTTTACAACGTAATTGCAATTTCTACTACTCTTGAACAAATATAGCTATTGAAAACAAAAAGTCAGTATTCGAGTTGTAGTCTTGATCCTGCATTTGTAGGTACATTTAAAGAATTATAAAGCGATGATAACACTCTGAAAAATATAGCGAGGAAGCTCCTGCTGAATATGGCACAACAGTAACACTATTATTTGATCTTATAAATTTTGGTCTAAGGGAGGTAGTAGACATTCCGGTGTAAGGTGTACGAACACTTACTAATAATGGAAAATCAAATTTAATATCTGTACTGCTCCATGAGGCATCAATAAAAGTGTACGAGGATATCTCATATTGTTCGGACATTGTGTAAATTGCTCAAATTGTTTATTCAAAAGTCCATTAATACCCTAAAACTAGCTATCTTTTCTTGACATGCACTAAGCAGCTTAATATAGTGTTCTGATCAGGTGACAGCCGTAATGCAAATTTTGTAGTGCTGTACTCAATTGTCCTATCACACTTCCTGCTTTAAGATTATTCATAAATATCTTTTCATTTCCATTAAAGGTTGCAGATTGACAAATTGCTTTATGAACTTGTGAAAATGCATATAAAATATTGGAAGATGTTCTGTTCAAAGTTTTTAGAAATAATAATAACTTTTCAATAACACCACTTTGACTGTACTTATTAAGCCTAAATATACACTTTTGGAGCGTTGTTGAGTAATGTTGTATCAAAATCATCACAATAGTTTCGACCACGGTGAACAAGACTCGGGTCGATTTTTCTCTTAGTATCATTTGTTCATTTTTTTTCATCATCTATTTGATCTTTTTTATGATGGCACGTGCCACTTTACAAAACTAAAATAAGAAAATGTATTGGTGATGAACTTTATTTTGTAAGACACTTAAAAACTATTTTCGCGCGACTTCATTTCTCAAAAAAAAAAAAAACTCCTAGAATGGATTACTTTAAAAATTTACAAAGTAAAATAACACATCAAAAAACACAACCTACTCATGCCGAACAACTTGCAAAGTTTCATAATGCATGGGAAGGCATTCTAGTAAGTATTAAAAGTTATATTTCTTTTTTTTTTTTTTTTGAAATTTTAAATCAATAATTTTTTGATGTCAAAAATCTACTGTTTAGGGATATTTTGAACAAGATGAGAAAAAAGTTTATTCTATGCCAGCTAATGTTAATCAAACAGAAATTCCACAACGTCTTAAAGAAATGGTAGGAATTCTTGTCGAAGAGGGCCTATATCTTGAAGAAGTGAATACTGGTGTTTGTATGGAAGAATTTTTAAAAAATAATGTCCTCAAAGAATTGGTAAAATTATCTAAAGATGATGCCCCACTAGGTATTCGTGGTGAAATTATTCGTGCGGTCAGAGAATTAATTGATCTCTTAGATGATCGTTTTTTAGTTCATAACTCTGTCCATCAACCAACTGTTAGTCTACTTCGTACTTGTGTTCATGATGAACAACAAAGTGAAGTGTATGATGAAGACTTGGTGGATCTGATGTATATCATTTGTTCTAAAATTCATGGTTTTCCTGCTCTTCTAAATATATTTTTTTATGATGCAAATTGGTTAACTACGCCTCAAAAGTATACTAAAAAAGAATTAGGCCTCTCATTAAATATTAGTAATAATCAAGATGGAAATATAGATGATGGTGCATCCATGACAAGCAATTCAACTACTGATCATGCAAAAACAACTGAATTTACCGAAGAAACCGAAAAACCAGAATATGAATTTTTTCTTTTTGCTTATTTATTACAATTTGTACATAGGGAAGGCAAATGTGGAGACTTTGCTAGAACTGGTTTATTATTTATAATGGAACTTGCTGATGGTCAATTAGCAGACTATATTTTAGAAAGTGACTTTGCTAATATCATGGCAGCCGGTTTGGGTGCTCTTTATTCACAATTACCTAGAAAGTTGATGGTAAAAAGTTCAAGTGGCGGATTAACAAACGCCACTTTACTTCGTTTTGGTGATAATACATCCGCTGAACTTGAAAAATTACGTTCTGGTGGCATTGAAGTTTCTTCATCCCCTGCGTTTAAAAGTCAACTTGATTCATTTTTGAAATTGTTAGAGTTTTGTCAAGATATTTTGAATAGGTGTCCAAATTCAGAAATTTCAACAGCATTGCTTCAAAATATTAAAGCACATTTTCTAGAAAATATATTATATCCGTCTATTCTAGAATGTTCTGATACTGATGGTTCATCTGTTGCTGTTATTTCTTATATTGATATAATTTTGCAAACTTTGGATCAAGAGGAGTTGGTTGACTTGGTTGTAGGTTTCTTGATGGATTCTGATAGCGACGAAGAAAATTCTTGGAATCAAACACTTCCAAATAATAAAGCAGCAAAGCGCCAAAGCACTATAAACTGGTTTTCAGGAATTGATACAAATTCTAATACCTCTTCTCCTTACTTTACGGCTATTGGTAGATTTACTCTTAAAGATCTTATATTTTCACGTTTGCGCTCGTCGTCACAGTCAACAGTCATCGCCGCTCTAAAGCTTCTTCAGAATCTTATCTCTAAACATTGTTGGTATTCTATTAAATTGTTAAATATTGAATTAGATGAAAATGCTACTTGTTTTCCCAGTCCAAATTATATGATCGAAAGTTTTCACAACAATGACTTGCATTCTTTAAGTGGTGCTCCAATTCCTAAGCCTATAACAATGAGTCATCATTTAAGAGAATTGGATCTTTTCTATTCATTGATTTTGGCAATTAATCCAAAACAAAGTGTAGAAATTATCACAAATGGATATGAATCTTATGTACGTGATGCAGAAGCAAATATAGAAGCGGATTTATGTTATCGTATTGGACAAGATTTAGAATGGACAGAAGAGGGACCAGCTCATCCTAAAACCAATAAAAATAAAGGGAAAAATTATTCAGCTTATAGTCAAGGCAAGAATCCCAAAAAGCATAGTCATGCGGAAACTCATCATGTGCTAAAACATAAATTAAACCCAACAGATCGTTTAAAACCTGCTGATTCACTTTTACAAATTCTTATCGGTACACTTTCCAATTTTTTTGCTCATTCACCTGAATTGAACCTTACTTTGACTGGAGTAATTTCAGCACTTGCCATATGCCCATATAGATCATTAGAAGGCTGGTTAGTGTTTAGTGGTGCTGATAGATTAGATAGCCGGCAAGATTCTTCAGCCAAAGATTTTGAAAGTCTTCAACACGAGGCCAGAAATCTTGAACGTTCACTTGGAATTATTGCCAGTAGTAGTGATAGTAGTGGGTCTGGTAATAAGAAAAGTGATGTATTGGATGAATCAGACGATCGTTCAATAGATCATGATTTTGAAAAAAGTGCATTAGCAAATAATACTATTGGAGTAGTTCCAAAATGGGCCAATTTCCCACCATTCTTTACAATTTTTAAGACCTTAACACAGCAAGTTGATTATTATCGAAGTGAAATAGAAGATTTTGACCAATATCTTGATGAGAGAAGAAGTGGCTTACTTGACACAGAAGATGAAATTGATGAAAATTTCTTTAGACAACAATCATCTACAGCCTTCGCATCCCGCGCATCTCCAAAAGGCATTCCTTCGAATTCTTCCAACACAAACCTTCGCCGAAATAACTCATTACCAATGAAAGCTCCTCAAAGATCTCGTTCTTTCTCGCGTAAAGATACATCATCAACATCACCAATCAATTCACCATTATCATCTTTTAAATCTTCTCCTATTTCGTCTAATATTGTTACACCACTTACAACGCATTTCAGCAAAACTGAAAGCATTAAAATTAAGCCACTTTTCCCCGCGAATTTTGTCAATGAAGAGGAAGATCCAATTGACGATATCGGAGAAGAAGAAGATGATGAACTAACGTCCTCAAAGAAGCAAACAAGAACTAAATCAAATGAATCTAAACCAAAGGAAATTACATTAAGCACACTACTTAATAATGTGGTTATTTTGGAAGAAGCAATAAAAGAATTAGTGGCTATAATACAAGTCAGGAGAAGTTTGGGTATTGATGAAGTTAGATACTTGTAGCATTAGAATGTTATATTTATTACTTTATTGTTGCTG